AGCGAAGCCTCCAAGTCTGTGACAGAGAAGGGGGCCTCAGAGGAGGCCATGGAACGCGGGGACCGGGCCTTTCTTGACGCCATGACGGGGATCTTCCAACACCGCAACCCCAAGCACGCCCTGGAGGGCCTTTGCGATGGGGTCTGCAATGTCGCCACGGGGGTGGGGCTTGGGGTGGCCGCCCTCATCACGGCAACATCCGCGGGGGCCTCGGAGGAAGGGGCCTTGGGCGCGGCGAAGGGCTTCGGCGCGGGCCTGGTAGGGTTGGCGGGGCTTGCGGGGTATGGAACCTACACAGGCGCGCAGCAGCTCCTCCGTGGGATCACGAACACCCCGGAGGCCGCGAGCCACGCCTTGAAAGGCGACCAGCTGTGGGATAGCAGCTTGGGAAAGTGGTCGGCGGTGAACTTGTGGGAGGACCTCATGACCCTGCCGACCACCGACGAGGATATCCAACTCCGGGCGAGGCGGAAGTTTATCGAACAGGAACATATTTTACAGAGGGATAAGCAAGAAAAAGATAACACCACCAATGAAGATACCAGCCCAGCATCCGCATCGTCGTCCCTGGATTACTATGGGCTCCTGGAGGTCGACCGAACGGCCAGCACTGAGGAAATCCGCAAGGCCTTTATGCGCAAGGCTTTGGTGTCTCATCCAGACAAGAATCCCAACGATTCTGACGCTACCCGAGAATTTCAGCAGCTTTTGACGGCCTATAACATACTAAAAAATGAGGGAATGCGCTTAACGTACGACCAATATGGGGGACATCAGCAGCCGTTTGGAGAGGGAGGCGTCGCAAATGCGGCAGAAGCAGCTGAATCGGTCAACCCCTTTGAAATATTACTCGGGACTAAGTTCCTCGAGCCTCTGACGGGGATGCTGCGTCTTATTTATTACTTTGAGTCCAATGCCCTCTATACAAATGAGATGCTTACCGAGTTGCACTGTCGGAATCGATTACGGGTTGCGCGCAATTTACTTTCCTTCGTCGAGACCTGCGGTGAGGAGCGGTTTAGTATCCTCTTGCGTGATGCCGTCTCGACTCGATGTGGGCCACAGATAGTTGCCTGCGTGGCTGAGAGCTATCATATCGCCGCTCGGCAAGGTCTTTATGATAGTAATTGGAAGCGAGAGTTGGACGGTTGGTACTCCTCAAAAGTGCTTTCGTTATCTTCCACGGCGCGTACTGCGGCAGCTAGCGCGAAAGCCGTGACGAAGACCATTAAGAAGACGTTATCTGAAGAAGACCTGATTGAAATGCTTTTATGTGCATGCAAGTACGATGTTTGCCGCACCGTTCTACAGGCCTGTCGACTAATTTTGTACGATAGTGGTGCCAGTTCTATTGAAAAGCAACGGCGTGTACATCAATTAAATAAGTTAAGCAATATGGCTCGTGCAGAAGTTGAGAGGGAGCTGGCCTCTCGTGCATGCACAAATTGATGTTTGTGTGATGCATTTAAACGATGTTCTATAAGACGAGATTCCTATTTCATTATATAAATATCTTTACGACTAAGGACATTTTTTTATTATGTCTTTCATTAGCTACGTACTTACTTTATTATGCTGAAAAAAAATCTACAACCTTTTCTATTCACTAGGATTGCTTGGTATAACATTTAATAGGCATATGTTTTTTTAATTAAGGATATTATTCCCATATATTGCTGCACGCATCTTATTGTTTTTTTTTTAATTCAATTTTACATATGGTGCACATTGTTTTTGAGATTCTGTTTGGTGTATCATAATGTTGAAATTCTTAGTACTATGAAAATTTAGACCTATTTTTTTCGTACTAAGAGGCAGTATGTAGAGACATGGAAACTAGAAAGATTTTTTGCTTAATATTAGAACTCCATTCATTCCAACCTTATTATCATTTTTTTTCTAGTTCTGTTGTTCTCTTTACTTTCAATGTGGAAATGTACATGTGAAAGAGGCAAAACTCTTTTTTATTGAAATATTATATTCAACAGGTTTGAGGGATGGTTGTCGGTTTTGCTATATACCAACAATAGTTTCCTTTGGGATGTTTCATCAAAAAAAAATTTTATAATTGACACCTATATGCGTAATATTTATTTATGAACGCACACCCAACTAGCATATTTCACTTTTTCACAATTTTACGCAGTGAGCCAGAGTTTCCCGAAGCATCAACGTTTTATAAAGGCTACTTCTAAGGTAATGGATGATACTACCACTGTTGCCGCGAATTCCTCTGCACCGAATGGTGGGAGCGAAAATGAAACCTTACTACAGAATATGGTGGATTTCCTTGGTGTGATGTATGGTAATAAAAAAATTCTTCAGAAGGAGAAAAAAACGCCCAATGCCACACACACTGACCAGGTTGAAGAGAGCACGAAACGCTGTTTGAGCAAGCGAGCAAATATATATAAAAAGTCCCTTGGAGCCCTGCAGCCTTTCTTTGATTCCACAGAAAAAATTCCACCTCAAGAGGTATCGGTCGCAAAAGAGATGAAGCGGTCAAAGAGCGCAGGCGAGAACGACTACGTTGGGCGATTATTAAATCATCTTGTGCGGACATACTCCACGCAAATGGACCTTGATGATGGCGTCGTCGCGGGTGGTGAGGGGCGGAAGAATTCTATTATCAACGGCGACGAGAAGCGAGCGTCCAACGGATTCCTTTCTTCGGGAAACATCTCGAAAAAAAACATTGATATGTTAAATTTTGTAAACCAGACTTTGGATGGCTTCTTGAGACCTAATGCCCGACAGCGATCGGCGGTTTCTATGCTGTCCGAACTTGAGATGGACACCAACTTTTCGCGATTGCTTTCTTTCCATACTCACAGTAATTTGCAAAATAATATTGATGATCTTGATAAGACAACTGAACCTTTAAAGCCTAAGTTTATTGGGGAGCAGGCGATCTTTAAATCCATCCGATCTTTCACAAAAAGCAAATCGAACAACCTCCCTGCATGTCAATCACTCGCAAAGGAAATACTCCAGTCAAACTTACCAAGCATCCGAAGGGGGATCTCGACGGTAGGCAAATCGGCCTGCCGGGCTTTGCAAAGTCTAACGTTGGATTCTAAACAGCTGAACAAATTACGTCGTAGTGTTTCCTGGAATAACTCCTCGGAGGATAAAAAGACAAGAAGCCTTTCATCCCTGAATGGCGTCGATCTTTGCGTGTCTATGAATGAACTGATGAACCAGGAGGAGCTCAGTCGGAATATCTTTCTTGCCCTGGAGCAGCAGCTACGAGACTACATTATATCCGCCTACGGCATCAAAAAGAAGTAGTGCGAGGGTTGAAAAAGGCAAATCACAGTTAGCGGTTCGTTGATTGAGCGTAATGAATGTTGTCATATTTGAGTGAATATTACGGATCGCTATAATGGAGCTCTTTTCCACGATGGAAGCATCACAAACTGAAAACTAAGGATGATGATGGCCTTTTAGATAGCAGAATACTTCAGAATGATTTAGCATTTTTCAGGAGGGGAGTCGTTTGCTTCAGGGCGATGTCACGTGAGAAAGGTGCGAATAGCACTAACCACTATAAAGAACTCGGTGCATTTTAGCGCTTGCTATCATCTTTACGTATCTTTGTGAGCAAAATCATTAATTTTACAAACCTATTTTCAATCTCTAATATATGGATATAAATATATATTAATATATATATATATTTATTTATTTATTTATTCAGATATATTTTTTGTAACATGTGAAAACTGAACCTTAATTTAATGATCATATTAGAAAGAATAAATTTAATTTTTTTTTTTGTGCTTCCCTAGATAGCTATTGTATATGTAAACTACATTGATTGCTACTTTTTAGTGTGAATCCATCACTAAAAGAGGGTATACGTTAGTTTGTGGAATAATGTAGATATTATTTGATTACATGTTTTTGGATGATCATGTACAAACAAAAAAACACATATGCCAAAGCAAGCGCTATCTGTGTTCGAGGCGTATTGCTAGATTTTTTTCCCCATGTATACATTCCATACAACTGAATCGAATGCTTTTTGTTTTATTATTTTTCTTACAGACATCGTATATTTTTTATATTAGTCTTGTCTTCATTTTTTGATTATTTTCTTTCTTTTACAAATCGTTTTACTTTATGTGATGTCAAGATGAATACTTCTGTATCCCTTTAGTTTACAGAGCTTAAGTTTGATTTTTCCTTTAGGAACTTGATAAACTTAAGCAACTTAACTACTTGAGACATGCTTAATTTCCATTTTTTACCGTATTTTGGCACTTGACCCCCCCCCTTCTCTACTGTTATGAAGTTAAGCAAATACCCCCTAAATGAAAGCATTTCCTTATAACCAATATTCAACCAAAGTTCTACTAGTTAAATGCGAGTTTTCGCTAAGCTATAATTTCATGAGGGTTGAGAGTGACTAGAGTATGAGCGCGATCTCATGGCTTACCTTTTAGACAATTAGGTTAGCAGGCGGGAAGTTGTTTACAAATTAAACCGCCCTGTACTTTCTCCAACTTTGAGGAAGTTAGTTGATGACAAATATGTGAGAAACGTGCGAAATGGTGTGAATGATCCTTTAATCCACCCTTGCGCAAGAGCTAATGCTGCTTATCAATTTGGTAAAGAAGATGTTTTTTACCATGCTAGTCGGTAGGTAGTTAATCGATTTGCTTGGCATTCGAGTATTCTTTGAATTTTTGCTCCATTTTTCGGCGGTACGGCGCATTTTTTCCCAAAATACTTCGCGAATATTCTCTTGAATTTCGATGCGATGCAAATTTTTATCTCGCGGCTAGATCTGTAGTCATCCTTTGCTTTTTGAATTAAAGACTAGAGAACATTTCCAGTAGTTGTTTGGGAGAGGGTCCAATGACGATACTAATAAGTGATTAATAAGGGGAATCGATATATTAAATTTTTGATTTTAATGTTCGAATGTTTAGATAGTTGAATCGGTCTCTTTTTATCAACTGTATTGTTCGGTATTGTGTTGGTTCCTGAAATTTGAGGCGTTATCTCCTTTCCTAGAATACCAAAGGGGTGAGGCTAGGGTTATTTTCACCTGTGGATTCGTATATATAAATATATCTATCTTTATATATAATATATATATAGCAAAAAACGTGAGTGATTTATTTATTCGAATCGAACCCCATCTCATCTACCTTTTGTAGAGACCGACAACGCCATACTCGTTCTATGAGCCGGCGATAGCCCCACCGGGAAGGGCCACGCAACGAGGGCGGGCTTGACTGAGTTCCCCCGAAGGAATTATCGGCAGCTCCCCACAAGAGGGGCTTCCACGTCCATCGCACACCTTTACGGGCCTCCCTCGCGGGGGGACTTTTCGAGGGCTTAAATTGCCAAACCAGCGGGCCGCCGCGAGGGAGGTGTTGGGGGCTGCCATGGCGATGGAGCTTTTGGTTTGGATGGGGGTCTCCGGCGGCCAGATTAACCCTTCGGTGAGCTTCGCCAATCGTCTTTTTTTTAGGTTCTACCCTGGCGTGAATTTACCGGTTAGGTCTTCGCGCAAACTTTAGGCTTCTTCAGCGCCGCATTTTGCATTTACATCCTCTTCTACGACCGGTTTCAGGATGCGAAAAATGCGTTAAAGCCTGGGGAGACGATGACGTTGAAGGATGGTGAAATATTTTGTACATCCCCTCATGAGTCGAATTTTTGGTGTTTGTTGAATGAGTTCCTGGATACAACCATCCTTCTCTTCGGTATTATGGGTATGTTTGACTCCCGCATGATGCCTGTTGATACCGACACACTGTTGGCAGTTGGGCTACTCATCGTCACGATTTCGGTTTCTCTTGGTACCAATTCTGAGTTTAGTATGAATACCGCTTGAGATCTCGGGCCTCACATAGTCTATTCCTTTATTTTTTATACCACGGATCCGTTTACTGTTGACAATTTTTTTTTCACGTTTATCTTTCCACTTTGTGATACTTTTGGAATGTTTTTGTATGACTTTATTATTTCAAAGAAGAAATAATAATTTACGACTGAAGAAAGTAACTGATCATAAAAACAGCAGCTTATTATTTCTTGTAAATGTATTGTTTGTTTCGTTTGATTTTTATGTCACTAAAGGATATTCTTGAACAAACTATTGAAAAGTTCACAATTAATTGGAGTTCAATTTTCCTAATTTCTATTCGTGAATTCTGAATATTCATTCTGTAGTTTTTTTACGTGACGAAATAGACTTTTCATTAGAAAAATTCCGATAACGTCAACAATTTATAAATTTTGTCATTAAACTGTTATTTTCTTACTTAGCCGACCATAAATACTTTCACTCGAATTTCCATTATAATGGTTATCTTTGTACGAATAGTTTTTCTTAAAAATCAATGCAACAACTCATTAAAATCTGTAAACCAGAGGAATAACCACCTTATTCATTGCGAGACCAATCGTTGTTATATATTAAGCGAACATAAGTGCCAGTATACGAATTTTCGTTGCAGGATGTAGAATTCTAAACCAGTCATTAAAAAAAAAAAGAACTAACATCCAACTGAACTGCCCCAATTGCCGCCATAGATCCACCCCCTATTGATAGGATGTTGTCCCGTTGGACATCAACACCCCCTCAGATTGACAATCGTGTAACGGACGGCAGGCCAATGCAGGCCCTCCGGTCGCCGTTACGTCTGTCCTCTCAACCCCCCCCCCCTTTTATTTTGTGTTTTTCTGCACGCGGCGCTGTGACGGCCCGTGCGGCTGTAGCCCGTGTCACAGCCCCCTACCACCCCACGCGCAGCATCCCCTTGGCCTTCCCCCGGTGCGGGGATGCTTGATTTCGCGGCGTTTCTTCCCCCTGGGAAGTGGCCCCCAACCCCGCTCCAGGGCGACGGGTTTCTCATCCACGGCGGGCGCTCCTGCGGGAAGACGTCCTTCGCCT